AATTGGCTTTAACCCCCCCCCACACTTTTTTTTTTTCCCTCTTATATTTTTATTGTTAGTTTTTTATTTCTTTTTTGCCTTTTTCAGTTTTAGTCATTTTAGTACTGCAACTTTTATTTCAGTTAGTTTCCAAGGCAACATCTCTAATGTTTAAGTTTTTCCTCTAATATTTATATTTTCATTGTTTTATTTATATTCCTAGTTATTTTTTTTTTTTTAGTTTTAACCATTTTAGTCAACATTTCCAATGTTCATATATATATATATATATGTGTGTGTGTGTGTATATATATATTTCTAGTTAGCGTTTTTTTATTTATTTTTTTTTATTTTAATAGTCCACTTAAATTTTTTCATTTAGTTTTCAAGGCAATGTTTCTAATGTTTTTTTTTTCCTTTTAATAATTATATTTTTAATGTTTTTTTATATTTCTAATTAGTTTTAATAGTTTTAGTACTTTAATTTACATGTCAGTTGTTTAAGTTTTCCTCTTATAATTATAATTATTATTATTTTTTTTTTATATTCCTGTTCAAGTTATTTATTTATTCAGTTTGTCATTTTAGTACTTCAACTTAATTTTTTTGAAATTTCAATTCGTTTCTAAGGCAACTAATCTAATTTTTTTTATTATCTTTATTTTAATTTTATTTTTTAGTCATTACTTCAAGTCAAATTAAATTTTGGGTAGTTACCAAGGCAACATTTCTAATGTTTATTGAACATTTTTCCTCTATTTATATTTTTAACTTCACTTCACACAAGTATAGTCTGAGTTGAAGTTATCAGCATCAGCATCGGTGGATTATCTCTGATCCTGACTGGTTCTTCCCTCAGTTTGAGCAGATGCTGGGTCTCGCTCAGAGATCTCAAGACGAGCTCTTCCACATCGCGCTCTATAACTGTCTCATTCAGGCCGATCTCACCGACAAACTCCTGGAGGTACCAATGATTGCATGCACAGTTACTCCTCATAGCCTAAAGTCTCTCTGCTCGAAGTGTTTAGGACGTTTTCTCCTCTGCTCCAGGTGAACTCAATCTACCTCGAGGATCATCTGATGCACATGATCAAACAGGACCAGAGTAAAGTGCGTAACATGGACCTTCTGTGGCGATACTACGAGAAGAACAGAAGCTTTGGCAAAGCGGCACACGTTCTGGCGCGGCTAGCGGATATGCACAGGTATAGTGCTGCTTATAATAGTTCTCATAACTATGCATGTAGATATTTAAATTCCTGTTGCTGGATACCTATATGCACCCAGTCTGAAGGGTTTGTGATGGTGTTGTGTGCATGCAGCACGGAGATCTCTCTGAAGCAGCGTCTAGAGTACATCTCCAGAGCCATCCTCTCTGCCAAGAGCTCGTCCTGCGTCTCTTCACTGGGAGCCGACGGAGAGTTTCTGCATGAACTGGAGGAAAAGATGGAGGTACTGAGAGAAAAACAGCTGAAGACCTTTAGTGGAGAGCTGCACAATTTGGGGAAAAAGTGTAATTGCAATCGTTTCTGATTGGAATTAAAAAAAATTTTTTTTTTTTTTTAAAGCTCCAAAGTGTTTGTAGGGCTGCACAATTTGCCAAAAAATGTTACATTTACAGTGGGTACGGAAAGTATTCAGACCCCCTTAAATCTTTTTTAATAAATCTGCAAAAATGTCAACGATTCTGTGTTTTTCTGTCAATATGGGGTGCTGTGTGTACATTAATGAGGAAAAAAAATTAACTTAAATGATTTTAGCAAATGGCTGCAATATAACAAAGAGTGAAAAATTTAAGGGGGTCTGAATACTTTCCGTACCGACTGTATGTCAATATGATAATTGACTAATTATTAGGGATGCACCGTGTTACGACACAAAACTTCTTTGATTTGTCTAGAAACATTAAGGGAATGTAACATTCACAAAACTCTAAAACCAAATTTGGGATATAGCCTAATAGTGCAAATCAAACGGTGGGCTAGTTGTGAAGAGATATTTAACAATATATTTTCTGTCCAATTTTATCGTTTTACTTTCAATAAAAGTGTGGTTATTTTATTGGCTTGAATTTTTAAATTTAGTATCATTATAACGGAGTTAAATTAAAAATTCTTACAAAATGATTTCCTATTATTTAATAAAATAATAAATAATTAAAAAACATTTCCGGTTTCGGTTTTCAGCCAAGTACACAAGTTCAAACAGAGAAAATGACATTTATTCATTTTAAACCCCATCCAATACACCAAGAAATAGGCTTTAAATGTATCCACAAAAAAAAAAAAATATATATATATATACAATAAACAAAAAGAAAAAGTATTGGAAATTTACAAACTCACCCAATGAAATAATGAAGAGAGCGCGAGTGTTGCCAAATCAAAAAACAAAATAAAACAAATTTCTTCTAACTAAAGGGACACATTCCACCCTCAAATCAAGAAACAACAACTAAAGGCAAGGGGTAAAACATAGAATAAGGCAAATAAACAGCACAGAGGGTAACTTTGGGGCTACAACCATTAAAACATGATGGAATAATGTTTTTGGGCGGAAACCTGAAAATACTGGATGCACTTGGCCGAAAACCGAAAATGCTTTTTAATAATTATTTTATTAAATAATAGGAAATAATTTTGTAAGAATTTTTAATTTAACTCTATAATTATAATGATACTAAATTTAAAAATTCAAGCCAATAAAATAACCTTACTTTTATTGAAAGTAAAGCAATAAAATTGGACAGAAAATATATTGTTAAATATCAATGTTATTTTTGAGTTCGATGTAACAATCAGATTTAACAAATTTTTTTATTATTATCCAAATAATGCTACTAAGCTATTATTATCAGAGCATGTGAGCAGAGCGTAGCGTCGTTTTACCAGCGTTGCCCAGTACAGCTAAATATTTTCAGCCGTTTTTCTCTTTCGGCCAAAAACTAAAGCCAAAAGCCATTTACAGCGGCCAAAATTTCAATGCATCCCTACTAATTATATATCAATATACCTAATATATATATAAATAAAATAATTTATTCTGAAAGTCATTTTTTTATCATTATATAAAATATTAAACAAAATAAGAAATATTACTATTGTAAGAATTGTAATATTTAACTGTAAAGTAAAACAATGAGTATTTAAGAAAAACATTATATAAATTAATATTGTAAAATTGCAATATTAATATTGCACGGAGCCCTTAAAGTTTCTCTCGTGTTGTCAACAGACAATTTAACTGTGAAAAATCTTTTTTTGAAATGAGGATAAATATTTGATGAAACCTAAAATTCAAAAACTTAAATATAAATTAGAAATGTTGTCATGGCAACTCGTTTCAAATAATTTCAGTTGAAGTAGTAAAATTACTAAAACTGAAATAAAAATAAAAATAAAGCTAAATAGAAATATTTAAAAGAAATGACGAGCAATTTTTTTTTTAGTTTGTTTATTAACAGTTCTTTATTACATTTGAAGTAATTAACCATAACTGCTTTTTTGGTAAATTATTTTAATTAGGGATGCACCGATGTATCGGCCGCCGATATTTATTGGCCGATTTTTCCTCAATTTACAACCATCGGCATATCGTCTATATCAGGAAAAAAGCCGATATAACAAACCGATGGTTTATTAATTAACTGCGTGAAGGCACTGAGCTGTATAATGTCTGTTGCATAATCCTAGCGCTGCTGTCTGCACTTTAATGCTAATCAAAAGACAAAAGATCGCACACTATTCTTGACTAAATAACTTTTGTAACTTCGTAAGTATAGCGGACCTCATCTGAATGATGACAAAAACTTTACTGATGTTTTAAGTTTATTGCGTTCTTTTTCACTCCAAAAAAATCACCGTAAGAGCTACACAAAACACTTATTACAACTAACAGTAAACAAATATATACAGATATACAAACCCGTCAAAATGAGTCCCGCCTTAGTAAAGGAGATCTCATACATATTTTAACTTACAAAAATATTAAAATGTATACAAAAACAAATTAGAAGATTAATCATAATAAAGTCTGTTACAATAAAGGATTCATATGTATTTAATTTATACAGTAAAGTGTTATTTTACATTTGTTTACTTTATTTCTGTACCTGAAAACTGTTAAACCTACCTAAAAAGCACTGTTTATTTAATATGTATCTTTGTTCTGTTGTATTTATGTAGGCCTGCTGAATGTTAAATGGATCCAATCCATGTTCACTAGAAATTATTTGATGATGCAGCAATAAAACTGCGAGTATAATTTAATGCAGGTGTTTTTGAACTTTGCTGATTTAAAACATGATCAATAAGAGAGGAAGTGACAAATATCGGTATTGGTATCGGCCAATAAGTGATTGTTAAAATCGGTATCGGCCCCAAAAAATCGTATCGGTGCATCCCTAATTTTAATGTTTCTTTTTTTTATTAAACTTTTTAATTACATGTTCAGAACCACATTTTATGGAAACTAAGTAAAAAAAAAAAAAGAAAGTTTCCGAAAATGAGTCCCGCCTTAGTAAAGGAGATCTCATACATATTTTAACTTACAAAAATATTAAAATGTATACAAAAACAAATTAGAAGATTAATCATAATAAAGTCTGTTACAATAAAGGATTCATATGCGTTTAATTTATACTTTATTTCTGTACCTGAAAACTGTTAAACCTACCTAAAAAGCACTGTTTATTTAATATGTATCTTTGTTCTGTTGTATTTATGTAGGCCTGCTGAATGTTAAATGGATCCAATCCATGTTCACTAGAAATTATTTGATGATGCAGCAATAAAACTGCGAGTATAATTTAATGCAGGTGTTTTTGAACTTTGCTGATTTAAAACATGATCAATAAGAGAGGAAGTGACAAATATCGGTATTGGTATCGGCCAATAAGTGATTGTTAAAATCGGTATCGGCCCCAAAAAATCCTATCGGTGCATCCCTAATTTTAATGTTTCTTTTTTTTATTCAACTTTTTAATTACATGTTCAGAACCACATTTGATGGAAACTAAGTAAAAAAAAAAAAAGAAAGTTTCCGTTAAAAAAAATACTTTAATGAACAAACTAAACAAAATCAAGATCAGAATAATAATTATTTTATTACTTTTGAGAAAGATTAACACTTTTACATTTTTTATTTTAATGCTTCTTTTTTATTATTGAACTTAACACATTCAGAACCAAGTTTTGTTATTGCAACTAACCTTACATTTCAGTTGAAGTATGAATTACTAAAACTGAAATAAAAATAAAAGCTGCATAGAAATATAAAAAGAATTAAATTAAAATGACAAGCTTTTTTTTTTTGAGTGAATAATTTTATTTATTTTTTTTAAATTGTTTTGTTTGTTTGTTTTTACTTATTTTAATGCTTCTTTTATTGAACTTTACACAATCAGAACCAAGTTTTGTTATTGCAACTGACCTCACATTTCAGTCAAAGTATTAATTACAAACACTGAAATAAAAATAAAGCTAAAAAATGGCAAAAGCACATACAATTACTTAAACTAAAGTTAAAATGAAAACTACAATAATAACACTGGCTCTGAGCTGTTGAAAACCTCGGCTCTGTGAACAGTGAAGCACGCAGTGCATGTATTTCTGTATTGAAATTAGGGCTGCACAATTAATCGAATTTCTAATCGCGATTACAATTATGAATGCCACAAGTACGTAATCGTTCAAAGCGGCAATTAATCGTTTAAAGTCCACTTATGTTATTCTGCGTGCTTAAGATGCATGTTTTTTTCTTTCTACATGTTATCTTAAGGGTTTTTCTATTTTAGTTTTAGTATAACATTATAATACCGTTCATATTTTTACTTTTTTTTTATCATTTAAAGAAGAAATCAATCCGATGTATATTTGACATTTGAGGCTTAATACTATAGAAAAGCACTAAAGGTTTTTCAGTTTGAGTGTTTTCAGCTTGTTTATTTTCATATAAAAATACAGCATGCAGTTGCATCAAACAATGGTATAAACATCATTCAGTGTAAATTGTGATAATCGTAATTAATAATCGCAATTACAATTTCAAGGGAATAATCGACAATTATGATTTTTGTCATAATCGTGCAGCCCTAGTTGAAATCGCAACCTTTGTGATCGGATAAGTGCACTGAGCCAGATCACGATCTCAGTGTTATTTTGCTGTGATCCTGCAGGTGGTGCGCATTCAGGTGCAGATCCAGGAATCCCTGCGCAGACAGTATTCCCAGCATCCTTCGGTGCAGGGAGCCATTACACAGCTGGACTCCGAGCTCATGGACATTACCAAGGTGAATAGAGGCGTTGCTGTAAATGCTGTAAAAGCACCTCGTGATCTGATGTGTTTCAGAAACCTGTTTCTTTCATGTGTCTGCAGATGTACGGTGAGTTTGCGGATCATTTCCGGCTGTCGGAGTGTAAGCTGGCCATCATTCACTGCGCGGGGCATTCGGACCCCATCCTGGTGCACTCGCTGTGGCAGGAGATCGTGGAGAAGGGTAACAGCTCTCGCTGAGGTTGTCCTCTCGCTGTGCTGTGGGTCGCTGTGTCTGACGGCTGCTGTTGTGTTTCAGAGCTGAGCGACAGTGTGGCCATGAGCCCCACGGACCGCATGAGAGCTCTGAGCCTGAAGCTCGTGTCGCTGGGGAAGTTATACGCCGGAACACCTCGATACTTCCCATTAGGTACCAGTTTATCACTAACTAGGGTTGGGAATCGGATACTTAATTCCAGAATCGGATACTTAAGGTCAGGAATCGGATACTTGTTGTCAAATTAATATTTTGATTCCGCCTATCCGCGCTTTTATCTGTGAGGACCGGACCTAGCGATCTGCCAGGATCTTGCTCTCTAATCTTAAGTGCTCCAAAGTTTGGCTACATTTGCGATCAGAAGCCAAAAAAGCTGAGTGTAATATGTGACCCTGGAGCACAAAAGCAGTCTTAAGTTGCTGGGGTATATTTGTAGCAATAGCCAACAATACATTGTATGGGTCAAAATTATAGATTTTTCTTTTATGCCAAAAATCATTAGGATATCAAGTAAAGATCATGTTCCTTGAAGATATTTTGTAAATTTCCTACCATAAATATATCAAAACGTAATTTTTAATTAGTAATATGCATTGCTAAGAACTTCATTTGAACAACATTAAAGGCGATTTTCTCAATATTTAGATTTTTTTTGCACCCTCAGATTCCAGATTTTCAAATAGTTGTATCTCGGCCAAATATAATAAAAATAAAATCAATGGAAAGATTATTTATTCAGCTTTCAGATGAAGTATAAATCTCAATTTCACAAAATTGACCCTTATGGCTGGTTTTGTGGTCCAGGGTCACATATCTGTGATAGCTAAACCTGTTGCAAGAGAGGCGTCACCACCAACATGGCAAAGCACTTTAATTTAATAGATCGTTAAAGATCGCGAACACGATTCAAACACCGTGATTCTATTCCTAAATTACAACGATTCGTCTGCTTCATTCCTCAGCCTTTGACGTGTGCGATCAATGTTGTGATCACGTGGATCAGCATACGATCACATCAGTGTGATCTGAGCATTTAAATCTGCGTTCGTGCTGACGCTGACCTAACGAGAGCAGCTGTCTGTCATGAATCAAACAGCTTCACAGTCTCTTCAG